GGAGAGGCATAAATAACTTACTGTGTTCTCAGACATGCGTATTTGCTTTTCTTTGCCCGTTAGCATTAGGTTACTTTCAGTGGGGTTGGTGGAATTTTTTGCTTACGATACTTTTATTTTTATTTTTTTCCTGCATTTTTGCTGTGTGGCTTCATTTCCATGTGACTATTTTAAATAGTATGTTTGCATGGGTCTGAAAGAACCTTCTGTTTTGTAAAAGATGAAAACTTCAGGTCTCTGTTTAGTCAGAATATTGAGACTAAGATGGCTACTTGTGCTGCTGCTTCTCAGGCTGGTTGGAGCTACAAGAGAAAACAGAAATGGAAAATGGTTTTATTGCCTATCTTTCTTGGTTTAGGTAAATGTTAGTGGTTTTTCTTTCATGGATAGATCTTTTTCTTGGTAGTCAGGGTTGATACCTTTTGTTTTTGAAACAAACTAGGACTGCAAGAGGGAAAGAAATTGGCGATGGAATGATTAAGCATTTAATTTGGTGTTTCTGCTACATAAACTGCACTTTGCTTTGTATTTATATTTCTGCTGTACTGAAGTCTGTCAAATTTATGTCAGTTTTGTAGCCCAGATTCATATCAGGCTGGTTCCTGCTTGGGCTTCTGAGTACAATAGTTGATTTGATGAACTTGACATTCTTCCAGAAGGGATTATTGCTGTCTAGTGATTGTTACAAACATTACTAGGAAAGCACTTATGAATGATTGTCTCTCTTGCTTAGAAACTACTTATCTCATATTTGTCTTTTTTGATATATTTTTGTGCCATTCAGGTCTTGGGGGAGGGTGTAAGGAGAGAAGTGGAAATCAGTTGAATTAGCTTCTTGCCCTTTACATAGGTCATATTTAATGCATACTGAGTACAAAACCATATGTCATAATATTTAAGTTGCCACTGGTTTTGTTCATAAAGACAAAACAGTTTTGGTCTCCAGGCTCTGTGATTTTATTTAAAATAAAAGTTACTGGAGGTTTTTTATTTAATTAAACTTAGTATCAGAGTTTCTGTCAGCTTAAAAAAAGCTCAGTTTGGACCTGCAAAACACTTGAAGGCAGAAGTGATTCTCCAGCAGTGCTTAGCTATTCTACCATGCGACTAGTGCCCCTCTGTCTCTCACAGGATAGTGTTTGCTGTTTGACTGTTCTATCGGGTCTTACTTTTGTCTGATACCAGCCCATGTGTTTAGTTCTACTTCATGTTGCAAATAACTTAAACTTGTTGGGACACCAAGCAGAGCTGTATTGAGGTCTCTTTCATTTTATTTTCTGTCTTTTATGTTTCTGTAAGTCTTTTACTTCTTTCCTAGATACAACTTTTTCAAAATTAATCTTTCAAGGCAGTTTTTATGCAGTTTCTTTAGTTTGAAAAATCAGTTTATGGATAGTGGGAGATATATATTTTCTTTCCCTTTTTGTTGTCAGACTAGTTCTATAATAATATGTACATATTCTTTCTAGTTTCAGCTTTGGCAAAGTTTCCAGTTAGATCACCAAATAGGTTTCAGATATGTTTTATTAACTGCACTGGCTGTGGGAAATGAACATCAAAATCATCTGTTTCATTTCTGTTTTACAGTGTTGTATTCCTGTCATAGTAAAACATGAGCTTTGAAAGGAACAGCAGTGTAAAAATCCTGTTCAAAAACTCCCTTAATCAAAGATTTAAGTGTGACTGTATACACATTGGCAGACTTCTGTTTTGGGCAAGTGCTTGTTACTGTGAACTAATAGAGCAAGTCATAAAATAGTGCTAAGCTATAAAAAGTTGTGTGAAACCTAGATAACAGAATTCTGATACTATGATTTACAGCTGACAGAGCACAACAGAGTTTGGGAAAAAGATGAATTCCAGCTCCATATGAGGGACTTTTTCAGACTATTTCCCCCCACTCTGATCTGTGTCAGTCCAGTACTGTTGTAGGTTGGCTAGTTACATATGGACCAGAAAACCCACTTGGGAGACAGAGGTGGGATTGACACTGCAGAGGAGGACTTTCAGTAATTAAATATTTGGATACAGAGAGACAGTCAGCTCTCCAAAAAGCTTTAAATAACTGTACTGTGTGGTGAAATGGGTACCAAAATCGAGGAACTAATGGAGCCTTCTGGGCAGTAGAGAGGTGGAGAGAAGGAGGTGTGCAAAGGACTCAATAGCTAGGAAGCAGGATAAATGAAGACAGCAAGGGAACATGAAGCCCAGGTAGCTGAAAATGAGAAGGGAGGGAGAAAGGAGGAAACATTATAAATACGTAAGGCACTAGCAATGTCCAGGGAATTACAGAAGATGAGAAAATAATTGAGACATCACTGAGACTTCCATACCAACAACTTTAGTTGTTGGTATGGAAGAGTATGTCATTGTTTGGACCAGGCAGAAGTCATGAGTCCTGATCCAAAGCACTGAAACTGCAGAATTGTTACAGCTTGTGAGGAGCTTTAACAAGGGGAAAGAAAGATCAGCCTTGCTGCAAGCTCTGCTTCAAGCCAGGGTTAATCAGCCTCTGATAAAATGTTGCCAAAGCACTGTGACCACTATAGTTTCTTGGTCAGTGGTTTGCAGTGACTCACAATAACAAGAGTCTTTGCATGGAAGGAGCTAAAAACTGAATCTAATAGATAAATGCTGGAATGACAGCTGAGCTCTGCAGTTTAAGTGTCCAAAATCAAAACTACGGTTTAATTCTCCGCAGCTACAGTTCTGTGGGCAGCTGTATGCAAAATCTGAAACAGCCTAAGGAAAAGTTGAAAGTCACTGCGCTTTGCAGGTATTAGCTATGTCAACAGTACTAGGAACAGTATGGAAAATGCTTCAATTCTGGTTTTGGCAGGCAAAGAGAAACCACATAGAAATATTTAAAATGTAGTGTAAGAATGAAAAGTCTGCATTGTATTAAAGGCTACATGCTCCTAAAATCTATGTATGTTTCACTTCAGCTTGCTGTTTTCATTGGTTTTCTTTGTCTGCGCAACTCTATTGTGGAACGTATTTACCTCTAAAATTAGGACTGGGAGTCAAGATGCAACTGAGGAACTGACCCAGAAGAATTAGTAAAAATCTGCATTGAAATTTTTTCTCTTTCTTTCTTTCTTTCTTCTTTTTTCCCCCTTATCACAGAAGACTAATAGGAGTAAAAATATGAACACTTTCCCTCCTATTTTCACCTCTAAATCTTCTGAAGGTTCAAGTACCAGAAAATAATAATAATTAAAAAAAATAGTGGCCATTTGTTGTTACAAGTAGTCTTGTAAGGCTCAAAAATTAATTAGTGCTTTCACAACAAGACAAGGTAAAGAGACATTGCCAATACAACTCTGGCCTTAAATTCAGATATGCTTCAGCATTCATATTCGTGTCAGAAGACATAGTGGTGGTGTTTCTGTTAATTTCCCTGCTGTGTGTGTTAACTGCATTTCTTTGTATTTATCTTTTTTTTTTTTTATGGTAGTTTTGGTTACATTTCAACAAATGTATTTTGTGTGCATTTTCTTCTGGTAAGTCAGAGTATTTAGGCTGGCGAGGTAGCCATGGAGGGGCAGAAATTAGTCAGAAATGATGAACAATCCAGCCCCTTCAATCTCGACTACTTTGTTTTCCCAGTGGTTTGTAGCACCTTTATCATAACTGTGCTGTGTCATTTGTGGATGTCCTTCAATGTCAGTTTTTAAATTAAAATTATGAGAGACAGCTGGGCCTGTTATGGCCCTTTTCTTCCCATTCATGCTGTTAGAGCATTATGAGAGGCTGACAGAGGAGCTTCAAAAAGAGTGCAAAAGGCAAAATTGTTCTACATCCAGAGATATTTCTGCAGTCTTAGTTAAGCATTGGCTTTGCTAAAGAGCTCTCTGGGCTTGCCTTCTTTACTGTGTATATCATGAAAAAATCGCAACAGAGATCTATACAGTAGAGTGACATCTTTTCATGGAAACCATAATCTTTGTGCATAATAACTTTTTTTTTTTTAAAGTAATAGTCCTGTATGTCCTTAAACCCTTTTAAAGGTATATGGTATATGTTTTTTATCTTTTAGTGCATTTAATCCCAGTGAACCCCATCAGGGAAGATGGGTTGAGCACTAAGAGCCGAAAGAGAATAATGCCTGAGTTGCTAACTGAGCCTCCTGCAATAGATCCTGTTTATGAAGCTCATGTTTACTGCAACATTCCCACAATTGCAGAACGCAGCATGGAAGGTAACTTTCTGAATGCAAATGACAGCTAAGTTGCTTGTTTCTACGTGATGTCATTGGAAACGATAACTTTGTGCGCTGTCAGTTCTTTGGTGCTTGGAGAAGGAACAGCAAATGCCAGCTGTTTGCTGAATTCTGTTAAATCATCAAAATATACTGTTCTTCTTTCCTTCCCTTTGTATGCTCTCTGTTGTCTTGATTTTTGGAAGTGGTTCTGTTTCCAGTCAATGGTCAACTGGAGGCCTACTGAAAGGTGTGTGAGAGATTCAGGTAATTAATACTTGAACTGTAATTCCTATTACAAGTGAGCTGCATTGTAAACAGTTGACTTGGAATTCTAAAACAAAATCCCAACCTCCAAAACCCAAAAGTAATTAATTTTAGAACCCCAAATCGTTAGATACTCAGCTAGAAGGCACATCTGCATTCTTGCCCTAGCGAGACAGCAGCAAGTTATTCTGAATGAATTCCTTCATTAGAATATCCCAGTAATACATATAAAATAAATTGCAAACTGGTATATCAAAAAGTTCCACATAAGAAATACTGCAAAATCCGTCTGGAAGAGAGGCATTATAAAAGTGGGGCAACCTTATCATGTTGGTGGAGTTCAGTACTTGAGTAATGTCTTGTATGGTTGCTGGACTTTAGATATATTATGGAGAATGTAGTAAGAACTTGAGTCTTGTCTCAGTTGTCTTTCAGTTTAAAGTGGAAATTCTTCTTGATATGATAAGTTGTCATTTCTTATGGGGGTTTTCTTTCATTGCATTACCAAAGCTAATATACCTGCTCTTTTTTATTAAAGAAAATACCTGCAAAAGAAAAATATGGAAAACATTAACTTTTTACTTTTTTTTCTCTCTCCCTCTTTTTTTGGTTTTTGGGGTTTTTTTTTTCCCCTTGTCTTTCTTCACTTGAGGTCATGCACCTCATTATTTTAAGCTAGTGTCAGTTCAAGTGTTGATTCGACATGGCGATAGGTATCCGCTGTATGCCATTCCCAAGACAAAGAGACCTGACATTGACTGTACGCTGCAGCCTAACAGGTAAAATTCTTGGTTTTCATCATTGCTAAGTGTGTGTTTTGCTTGATAATTATTCTGTTCCTCTTCAGGAAACAATTTGTGCAGCCTGAAGTACATTGTGACTTCTTGTGTATTGTCATGGATTATAAAAAAAACCAACCCTGTATCAGTCATGTACAGTTTCCTTTGAAACAGGAACTATTACCTGTTACCAGTTCAGGTCAGAAGAAATTCTTGGTATTTCTTTAAAATCAAAACCTATTTAATTGAATGTTTAGATTGCCATTCTTCTTAGATAAGCTTCTAGACATTTTCTAAATGCACGTGCAGTATTTGAGAATGTCTCTTCCATTTTAGCTAAGCATACTTCCTTTTGTGTGAGTAGAGAAAGGTGTTAGTTCATCACCACGATAGGAAAATTAGTATTTGTGGTTTATATTGTTATTTTTTCTTCTACTTTCCAGAAATATAGGTTAGCATAGTTCCTTCAAATTAATGATCAAAGTCATTAGTTAAAATCAAAGTCAATGTCAAAGTTCAGGAAAAAATTATGGAGGTTGTACATTTAACTATTAAAATAAAAGTTAAACAGAAAGTACACAATTTGCTACTTGAGAACTATACTTTTCCTTTAGTTACCATTTGCTGTTTTAAACTGTCACACTTGTGTCTGACTGCCATTAAAACATAAACTTCATTTACCTTTCTGTTTCAGTATAACGTGCTTCTGTCTAACATCGTGTCTTTGTAGATTTCTGATGCTAGTCTTCATACACGATCCATTGTGAGCTGTAGCTGTTATCTGAATTGCTTCTCTTCCTTGTGAAGGAACCTTTCTTTCTTGTTTATCTCATTGATAAAGAGGAATTACAGTGTTAGAGCAGTAGAAATAAACAGTGATGATGTAAATCACCAACTTTTGTCTTAGCTTGCTTGATTACATGAGGTTTTTCTCCTTCTAAGTAGGATCTGTGGTATTGTTTGGGGGTTTTTTTCCAAACAAAAACTGAGGACTTCTCAGTGAACCTACTGAATACTTACAGTTAGGAGAAAAATACTAAGAAAAACTATCAGATGTGTTAGCAAAATCTCTAGGCAAATCTACACATTTCTGCTGCTGCCCACTCAGCAGTGTCAGGTGTGGAGATTTCAGTGACTGGGGGCTGCATCTGCTTTGTGCACTTGCATACATTACTCAGGAAGAGAGGCATAGATGTACTGGTATACAAAGCAATGCAGATATACTAATACTTTTTTCCAGAACAGCATGGAATCTCCTGTCTTTAAAGAAATAATGTTCTTGCTTTTCAGTTATTCAGAATTGGCTTTACTCTGTCTTGCTGAAAGTGTTAATGGCACACTGAAAGTACATTTCTGACTTGAGTATCTCAAACAAGTGTTTCTTCTTTTGATAGATTCATGGGCTGTGTTCCTTGAAATTTTAGTAGCTTCCAGTCATCAATAGCATTTATCTGAAATAGTCTGTCCTTTCGGCTTTTACTTAGTGGGCTTTTAACAAATGACTCTCTCTGAAGGAGAAGATGGATTATGGTACACTTTTGCATTTCTAGCTTTGTGATAAGCTAGTCTACGGCAGTTCCATTTGAAAACATGAACCAATTTTCATAACTGGTCTTGTGTCAGTTTCTGGCTCAAGTATATTAAAACCCAAACACAGTTGTAATATTGCACAGTAGGAATGTTGCTTAAATATGCTCAAGTGACATGAAAGAATACCTGAAGCTAATTAAGTGTAGCTTCATCTCATACTTGTAAAGCTGATGGGAAGCTTGATTAAAGAGGCTTGCTAGTATCTAGTAGATACGTACAGTAGGAGACACAAAGGCTGGAGAAAATGATAAGCAAATTGGATCTTTCTCTGAAGGAAGCTGAAATATGTTGCTTTTATTTTCAGATACCTGGCTACATAAAAAAATTGTGCTTGTTATTAGTAGGTGTCCTGAAATCTGCAAGGCTTGCAGTGCTGTCTTCAGTTGTGGTCAGTGTTGTAATGCTATTTGGCATGAGTAATTGCAAAGTGACCGTTACTGCTGAATCAAGGGTAACCCTACAAAAGTTTGAAACTGTCACCAATTTTCACCCATATGTGTGTCTGCCTTCCTGTTCATAGGAAACAGTCTTAGGAGCTCCCATGTTACATTCAGGCTACTGTAGCTACCTGCCTACATTTTGCATGAGGATCTAAACAGATTGAAAGTTTCCTCTGATATTATATTGGTTGCTGCTTTTCTGTATTCATACTTCAGCTTCCACCACAAAATGCTTGTTTTGTCAAAGTGACATTCAGTGGTTATATTTAACATCCTCCAAGAGAAGTTCGACTTCGAGAGGTGTCCAACCCCAACAGTGTTCTGTGCCCACTGCGAGCTGACTGGCTTTCTGAAATTAGATATGCAGCTCTGAGACTGAAGACCAAACTTCAGTTATCTCTGCAGTAGATTTAACTGAGCAATTAATTTCTCTATCAAGATGAAAAATAAATCATCTGCTAATAGCTATGATAACATTTTTAATGACCTGCCTATAAGGGATGAGAGTATTTTCAGCATGAAATACTAAGTAGAGAAATATGATCCAGATTCCTTTTGGAGTTCTTACAGGCTGTGATCTTCTGATCTTGCTCAGTATCTGTCACATTAGAATGTATGTGAGAACACTCTATTGCAAAGTCGTTAACTGCAAGTGACAATGTTGGATGAGAAGCTGTATTTCTCAGTATTACAGTGCCACATGAGACCTCAGTTTTCTATTTGTCAGAGAAGCTTTTATAGCTGTTTCTACTTCAGTTTCAGACAGGGAACTTAACATGAAGGCCCTGAACTCAGGAAAACTATCCATAAATGCAAAGAAATGGTGCAGCTTTTAACAATGCCAGTAGAATCACCAAGTCAAGCAGATAGGAAGGGCACAGTGTCAGGATGTGACGAGGCCAGCAGTGTTGATGCCCTTGGCTGTTACTGATTTATGAAGCATTAGAACATCAGTGTATAGATGATACTTCCCTTACCATTCACAGCTGCTGAAAATGAGTGGAGAACCAAAAAGACCTTGTCTTTTTGAGACCAAAGTTAATGTAAAATAGAATCTCCTGGCTGACTTTGAAACGGCACCAGAAAGATTAAAGGAATTGGCTCTGTACCATTCTGTCCAGATGTGTTAAAGCTGACCTGAATAAAGCTAGAATTGTTAGTTTCTGCCATTGTTTTGAATTGAACATTTATTATTTCAACATCAGGAAGTTATTTGCTGTGCTTGGCTGTCAGGCTTATATTCTTTTATGTGTAAATTTGGTGCTCAATTGCAAACATCTTTATATTGAGAGTATTACAAGGTATATAATTGCTACCTTTGAACTGAAGGTTTTGTGATGCTGTATGGCTGAGACGTCTGATTGAAAGTCTGTCTTTCTTGACTTCAGTTTAAGATAAGTATGCTGCTCATATTCAGTCTGTTCTTTATTTGACTTGGCATTCAGCTGATGGAATTCATTAATTAAGCAGATTATGCTACAGCCCCATGGACTTCTAATGGGTATGCAAAAGAGCCTTGAGGTCACGCTTCGGTTTTGTGAATTATGGATTGTGACATGTACGTGTGAAATGAATATAAGCAAATGGATTAAATGCTTTGGAGATTTCTTCCATCTAAAACTTCAATTAATGTTACTATTATTTTCATTGTTCTGGAAACAAATTTCTAAAGGGAGCTGAATAATACATATTTTTTTTCCTCAAGAAAATTAATGGAATGATGTTACTAAAATCCTTTCATTGTAGTGTTTGCTTATGGGGGGAATAAATTAATCTCCCACTTTTTTCCTTTGTATCTTGTAGTGTCAAAACTATAACTGTACTGTATTGCACATAAAATGTGAAAGTATATAAGTATATACTTATTATAAATGTACTACATTGCATATAAAAACATGCAATGTTTCTTCATTGAGTTTGTATTCAAGACAGTGAAGAAATGCTTTTTGAAAGATGCTATCATTTCATAGTATTCTGGCTTAATTAGCATATGCTTTGAGGCATTTTGGAAGGTGTTGATGTTAATCGTAAGAAGCTTAGTAACAAATATTTGAATTTTAGGTTCAGTATGCTCATGTCTTGAGACTGCCAGAAAAATGAGAGCAAAAAGTGTGGGAGAGGCAAGTATACTGTGAGTTGAGGAGGTGTGGGTTTGAGTTGGAGTGAGGTCAAAGCATGATCCAGCCAGAATTAGGTGAAGAAAGGTCTCGTGAGGCCTCTACTGACT